TTTTGAAAATTTTTTTACTGAAAGGTAAAAAGAAATGTAGGTTTTGGGGAGGAACTCCTAACTGGTTTGCGTAGCATAGTGGTAAGGCTATGGTTTCATAATTGTCTGATAATAACGCGTTGTCTGAGGAGCGATGGTTCAAGGCTCAGCAGAACTGCCAAGAAGGTAAAAAGGAAAGGAAAGGAGAAAAAAAAAAAACGAGAAGTTTGGAACGAAGGGGAGAAGGGAGAAGAACGTGAGAAAGGAATGGAGACGAAAAAGCCGCTTTCAATCAATTTCTCTTGTATTGAAGCAGTAAGTACTTATTAGTAATGTATATATGCTAAACCCGTGGGAATAAGTCATTGTCTTAAAAACAATGGGGTGCATACATAATTATGTAATTGAATGCATAATTAATGTATGGGGTTATATGGTACTCTTTCCAACTACGATTTAAAATCAACGGGTCGAAAATTAAGTACAACACGTAACTTTAAAAAAACAAAGAGCAATAATGAGAGTTCAAAAAAGAAAAAACAAATTCATCTGATCAGATAACGTTTATCAACACTTTCTGCACTTACTTTGTAATCGTGTTGCTCAATAGAAATAGTAGATTGCGGGAATAAAATCTGCTCGAGAAAAAAATAACAAGCGAACATAGAGAAGAAGGAAAATGACAGTGTATATTGTACTCTCTCGCCAGATAGAAACAAGTAACGTACAAAACAATAAATACAGCAACGAAGTAAGATATAAATGAGTACTATAGAATTGAGGTACGTTGATTGCTTCGCGAACGATTAAGCCTAAACTTTGCAAGCTCGCATTTACAATTCATTCTCAGTACCTCATTGGTCTTCATTCAAAACCAGTATTTCGACATTTCTCTCAAGATGAAGCCTCTTGTGCACGGAGCAAAAATTCAGTTCAAATATCACGATTTAGGACAAACCTTAATTCCTTCAGCTGACGTCTTCGCATGCGCTATTGCCACCATCTCGTGGCTGATGATGAGATCATCTTCTGTGTTAGTGTTATAGAGTTCAATGGCAAATCTGTGGCATCCAGCCACCAGAGATGCACTCTTAGATTTCACCTGAAGTGGAAACAGCTGATGATGATTTTTTAAAATCAAGACTGATAGCTATTTATTGCTTCACTAGTGAGGGACTTGGTAAACCACCCAAACATTTGTAGAGGCATATGTCAATCAGGAGTAAAATAGCCCCTTTAAGAACAAGCAAGAGACTGAGTCAGGTCCTGTGCGAGATTCTATTAAAATAGATCAGGTTACTCAATCAAGGCTGGAGCTAATCTAACAAGTAGTTTAAATTGCAGGTGCGAAACTAGTCTCTAAATAAATAGAAAAAAAAATACATGTAATTTCGATCCATTCCCTATCTCAAATCCATTAAGTGACTAATGCTTCCCTGGTGAGCTGACCTAATTAGCGAATTTTCACTACAGTGCTATGAACACTTATATTTAAAAAAACTGTACTGCACTTAACCACTTTTACCAATCTGATGGAACAATGACTGAGAACAGCAGTGACGACACATGCTCAGATAAGATGAGTACCTTTGCGAACAATAACTGATCAGTCACCATTTCCCAGAATGCGTCACTACTCTCTTCGCTCCACTCTTTCTCTGTAGAAAGAACTCCGATTAGTTAATACAAAGAACATCGAAAAGCTAACCAGACTATCCTTCGCCCTCTCATGGCTACAAAGTTTCTGTAGCATAGTTTCCCATTAATAGATTCCTTGGACTTTCTAGAAACCGATGACCGTCACATCTTAGTTGAGTGCGACGATAGAGCGTTTTCACTTGATGAGATCTGACAGTCTCACAGCGTACCAAAACAATAGCATGGCCGCCATGTTGGCACATCGAGCCAACCTTGTAGAGTTAATACTCATTTCATGCGTTATCACTTTCTGTTGCTGTAGTGTATTTTTATAGCTGCTTGCCACTTGCCTGACACAGTTATTCGCCATTTTTACGTTGAGCGGGGGATGGTCGAGTCAGTAGGCGCAAGGCACGCTGGGGCGACTTAGGGGACGCGTTTCAAGATGGCGGCGAAGAAGGACAGTGATGGTGACACAATAACGCTTACTGAACAAGATATTCCTGGAGCAGAGCTCCCAAAGCCCCCTGAGAATTGTACAGTGGCAATATTAAAACATCGGTTGACCTGCAGAGGAGCAAAAGTTTCGGGTAAAAGGAAGGAATTGATCAAAAGGTCAGTATTTTGTCGAACTACTATGCCGAAAATGTAGTGAATTTTAGTACAAAACTCTCTTTCATTTTCAGAGTAAATGATTACATACGCTCTGGTTTGGACTCCAAAACCTCATCGATCGTGATGGTGGCAAAACAAGCGCATAAAAACTTGGATTACAAGAGGAACAAGAGACAACTCTTATTGACTTTCCTACCAAGGGATTTGTTGTAGGAATCAACTCGAAGCTGAATGTTAGCTATCCTCAAATTTGAAAGTTTCAATCGACGATGTGGAGTTTAAAAAACAATTATCAGTTGAAAAACCAATCGTCAAGGGATACAATTTTTATAAATCAGGAAAAGTGGAAGCAATTTATACTAAACTGGAGGGTGAGGTTTTACGTCAAAAGCCCAGTAAAGTAATCTTATGACAAGCAAGCTGACAAGAATAAAAACATCGACACTGTCAAAATTATCATAAATGCGAGTTCACAAGTTAAACAAGCTGTCTGCCCATGCCCCTCAGGAAATGATGGACGGTGCAATCACCTAGTAGCCTGAGGATCAGGCTCTCTAGGGGACGGGAGGGGAGGGGAGAAGGAAAAGGAGAGCCTGACACAAAGCCATATCGGAAGCCGTTCGCTTGTTCAGATTTTGAACGGACCTCTGATTGGTCAATATAACAATAGATGATTTACCGGAAGTAAAAATGTTTTTCTGAGATTTCACACTGAGCTAACTTTTTCGTTTGAGACCTGATTTTGC